CGAGAATGCGTTGAGATTGGGAATGCATGCTCACCGGAACAACATCATTGGATCGACCAGCATAATCGCGGTGAAAGAAAAGACACTGGTCTGCCATTGCGGTTCGTGCGCCGCTTGAATCGACGTATGGGAAGGCATATCAGTTTTCCGCGCGCCGCAGCGCTTAGAGGAGCCAACGAGAGTGCGGCACAGCAAGCCACAACCCGGCGCAGCACCCTTTCTCAGATTAGAATCTGCAATTCACCCGCATTAACCGCCTAGTCTGAGGGCTCATTCATGCACGCAGAGTAGTCTCGTACGAAAGTAGGGCCTCGCACAGTTGTTGTAGGAGTAGGATGCATTTGTAGTAGAGAATGACAGGGTATCTACTCCAACGGCGACGTCACTGGCGCTGTAGTCGCATGTCTATACGTGGAGCTCGTGTTGAAATCTTGGAGAAATATGGGCTGCGAGGACTGTAAGAACGCACGTAGATAGGATCAGTCTGGCGAGAGAAGGGGCGAGAGCGCCTCTGGGCCACACCATGATACACCGTAGGAAGGACAAAGGATGCCGTGTACTTCTGATGACCCATGAAACGCTTTGTCCAGACATATTTGCTGACATGAAAACAGTAAAATGACATATTATAGACGCGAAAGATCAAGTAAGAACGATGACACCCAACACGTCCTTCACACCCCCAGAAAAGAACCCAACAACAAGCAAATCCTGATGTAGAACAACTTTGCCGTAGACGTACAGTTTCTGTTGGAGATATGTCCGAAAGCGTCGAAAATATGGGCAGCTCACCTATATCGCCTTCCCAATTCGAACTGACCGCGCTTCTGCGCTACCTGCTGGCAGATGACCCACTACCCCACACTCGAGACTGGCCTTACATATTACAACAGAGAGTTTTAGTGATAGGCTGTTCATCGTTCGACACAACACCCGCTTCACCGTTCGGCCCGGGGCTAGATAGGACACTGCCGACCCTTTGCGTTGAGGCAGGTACCGACCGTAGCTTCAACTCATCATTGCCCTTGCATACGATGGCTTCAATCAGTATGCGGGCTTTCTGGATGAGGTTTGAACACCATCAGAGTGATGGTTGGGCACGCGCGCATCTCCAATCTTCCACTGAGCCCCAGACATGCGCTGAGCATGATGCAGCAAGGCCCAAGCTCTTGCATGATTCGAATCGAGATATGATCGAATCGAACGCATCACACCAATCTTGACAGGCTGCGTAAGTCTGTGCCCCGCCCAAGTCCAAGGCCTCCAGATAGAAGGCAGCATCTGCACATGAAGCCTCTGTACATGGGTCGACTTGCTACACACCACTAGCTTGTGCTGTATTGGCGATCAGTACCTCGCGCGACATGCGGTGTAGATTTCGTGTCGCACCTTCATTGAGCCATGATGATTTCTTCGATGCATCCTGCAACATCATCATCCAACTCGCCGCTAGCGATAGCTTCCGCTGTGATTGCCGGGATTGCCGCGCACCCGTTTCGTCACGCCTTCGTAGACGGCGTCTACCCCTCAACGAGGTAGCGATCCTGCGCTCTTCCTTCGCCTCTAGCGTGTAGTACGGATCGTCTGATCAACATCTCCTCGCTTGCAGGAAAGCGGTCGATAGACGCATCACTGACGAAAGGACAAAGCCCTTGCGTAGACGTTTGCAAAGACGTTCCATGCTACGCATGCAGGCGGGCAGTCGACCGTTCAGCGGCCCGAGCAGAGTTGGTGGAGGAATGCCGGTAGTGGCTGCCAGTCGTAGTGGTCGATTCAGCCGTGTGGTCTTCCAGACCTCCCAGCTTATCAACACTAGGAAGTGGACTGTGCGACTCCAAGTTTCCAGCCTTCTAGAACAATGATGTCTGCTAAGCTGTGAATTTGAGCTTAACAATAGAACCAACAATCTTGCTGGAGGTGCGATGACGTTCACTGTCCCTTGATGCTGCAATGGATGGCTCATGTGTGTATGGGCGGGCGTGCATGCGACACCGCCTGCTTCGCCTCCACACCTGCTCGTCCTCAATCGTAAGGTCCAACACACCACCTCAGCTTGCAGCACGCCAACAGTGCTATTATTACCACCGCATGACGACTATTGTGATACAATACGTTGAGACGATGTTGATGGAGGTGGAAATGACCATGAGCTGGGAGACGTTTCTTGGATACTGGAGGACGTTCGCGTGCCGACGGGTAGTCCAGTCATCGGTGTGGTCTGTTATGTGCCGCTTTCCGGCATGAGAGTCGTGCTGTGATCGAATGATAGATTCGGGCGCGTCGATGTTGCGATGATTCGCTGCGTTCACGATTTGGGGCAGACCTATGTTGTCCTTCGCTCAGCCGCGATGGCACTTTGGCTACGCAATATAGAGGACTTGACGCTGCGAAAGTTCGGAAGATACATTGTGTAACAGTGACCTCCTGAGCGTCAGACCTGGAAGATCCAGCCAGATTACAGGAATGACACAGCTCTCACTAGAGCGATTCAACTGATGACGAACTCTGTGTCTGTGTAGCTTGATCTGTCTTGGAGAAACTCCCCTTCCATTACTCCTTCCACGTAAGCAGCATCGACGATGATGTACGTTCCATCGTTCTGTGGTCTCAAAACTAGTGGTAGGAGACATCCAAAGAGGATACACACTACATCACCGCTTTGAACTTTCATACCCGCAGATGCAACATAGCCGCTTGTCGTCGTGAAAAGGCACCCTTTCCAACGTGGGTATATACTAAAAATGCTTATCATGTGGCGGTATAATGACTTCGCAATGCTGAATTCTGGATCCTCGGCCAGACCGTTCTTTTCCTGAGAAAGCATATGTCGCCAGGTATCGAGCGCTGAATAGCGCTGGAGGACTTCCCATTCATCTACGAGAGCTTTGGGCATCGGTTGCTTGATGCGCGACTTCAGGTTGTCCACACTCCGTCCATCTAAAGCGACACGCCAAACGTCACCTCTTTCTACCTTTGCGTTGACCTCGTCCGGCAAGAAGCGCTTACTCCATGCTTTTCGAGCGATATGAGTAAAGTCTTGTAGTGTCTGTAAAAGCCATGGCACGAATGCATTCAGGTGCTGACGGAGGAAGAGACTGTAAAACATGGAGTTGTGTTTGTCCCTGGCCAATTCGCTGTAGCAATCCGTAAAAATCATCTGGGTTTCTGCGACCTGTCCAACGATGGCGCCAGTGATCTTGATAGTACTCGCCTGCTCGTCATGCTGAACGCTAGAAAATTTTCGTCCAGTGCTTGCGCCCTCCTGCACGAGGTCGTAGCGGCGAAACAGATAGTCCTTGAGGCGGAGAGACAGCAGGAGTGTTTCCTCCGTGAAATCGTGGGACCAAGAAGGCTTCTCAGTCCAATTTACTTCGGATCGCCGCAGCACAATGTTCAACAAGAATTCCAGGTCTTTCCGCTCTTTCATAACGCCGACGACGGCTTTCTGGAATGCCCACGTAGTTTTCTGCGTATAATCGGGCTCGAAAGGTTCCAGTGGCTGTCTTTCTACGAGACCAAGAAGAGCATATACGAGATCCCGGGGATCGGACGCTGATCTTCCATATGACACGTATATAAGATCCTCCAAAGGTATCGTCCCAACCAGACGGTAACGCTGGTAAATTCGTACAAACTTTGAAATCGGAAGTTCCCAGAATCTCTCGGGATTACGAACTTGACCTAACAAGTTCACACGTTCCACTAAGTCGAAAAGGCTTGCCCACGAGATCTCTCGAGACCCCCAGAGTACGAGCGAGTGTTCGTTGGCTACCACACCTTCTTGAATGGTCCAAACGCGTTTCCACCATTTACAGGCGAATAAAGGTTCCGTTTCAACTTTGAATTTGATCTCTTCCTTTTCGATACCCTCAAATCCCTGGTTTTGCAAGCGTTCTAGATAATCCATAACGTGATTTATCTCTTCACTTGACTCTTCGTCACTCATCCAGAGTTTCTGATCATTGCAATCCCTCATACGCGAGAGTACCTTTGTACCCAGCCAGATAAGCACCCTTGACGCTGACGAATAGATTCGATGCATCTTTCTGACCTGCTGAGACTTCTCTTCTGGACTGCTTTGGTCGATACACACGGCATCTATCCACAAATCTCGTATCCGATCTGTATATCGAACGCGTCTCAGAACGGAAGCGAGGTTGTAAGTTATCACCATTTCGTCATCATTCACCTCGAGCACTTCTTCCCCTGGCCACTCCGCCCACACATATGAAATCGCTTCATAAATCGGCGGAGTTGGTGAGAAGTGTTCGGTGTGGAGCCTGCCTCGCAATGGTGCATGATGATCAGATGCTGGAAACAGGCTGAAGACTCGTATCTGTGAAAGGCCGTTATCGAGCGCCTGGTAATGAAAATTATGCGCCATATCGTTGGTCTGGAAGTCACCTCGCACACCGTAGACATGCGGGAGGCGCGTGGACGGTGGTGGAAATGTGTCCTTCGCAACATACGAGGGGCCCCGCTTTCATTGGATGGTATGGCACTAACCGAAATGGGACGGGATCCACTACACGTCCAGTCGCTATTACCATTCCTTAGTCACCACACATGAACACTTACATTCACGCACGAAACCGAGAGAAGAGTACCAAGTCTGATATATGGGAATACAATGTTAATTTCGTCGAAGAAAGACTCCAGAAGTCAGACAGTTTGAGCCTACATGAACTTTGAACAGGGCAATATCATCACCTCCGACTCGTTTGTATACTTCAAGCTAATCTTGAGATCACACCTCAACAAGCCTTTGAAGACATTTATGCTGTTGGATCCTGCGATAGCTCATGTAGATTGTTCGTATGTTCGTCAACATCCTCCACGCTACAGTGACAAGAGTCAGTCCTAGTCACTCCCACGCAATGTCACTTCCACACAGTCACATTCACACATTCACACCAAAAGACTCACCACCATGATCAAAACCACTGCGCGCGCTATCATGTATTCTTTATTACCAATATACCCTTCTTCGGATACTGCACATGCCCCGGACAGCGTCCACAATAACAAACGCTTGCATTGAGCAAACTGCTGTCGTCAACAAGTCCACATTGAGCAAGAAGGACGAGGCAAAGGTAGTGCGATTGCAGAGGCAGATTGAGGGCGAGTTTACTTGCCGCTTTCTATATCGGATTCCCATTAACGTACACGTCTGCAGACATTCTCAACGAAGCTCCGTTCGACGGAAGTGAAGAGTCCTCATACCCTCAAGAATACGAGTTTGGGCACAAGAACAACACCGACCAGAACATCGCTGTAGTCTACCTCGCGGGCACGAAGGAGGTACGCTCCGTAGGTTCAGCTGCGTCGGACGTAGTGACCGCCTACGAAAACCTATTGGACAAAATCGAAGCAGAGAAGTCATCCAAACAGTAACGTCGTATTGTGGGTTTTGTGGCTACAACGAGCAAAGATGTTGGGAAGGCGAGTTCGTGTGGTGAATCTGTGGCTACGATGAGGGAACAGTTCGCGAGGACGAGTTGGTGTGGTAGAATTTACGGCGACAAGGAGGCGAAGGGAAGGAAGATCGCACGTTGCGAAGCATGGAGACGAATTCGAAGCTTGATAGCGACTCGATAGACTGGGTAATGCTACGACGTATCCGTCAACCTCAATGTTAACTCATCCTACGAGCGGTCATAGTGACTCACCGGCTTCAAATGGTGACTCGGAGTTTCGTCAAGCTGCTTGCTTGGGCGCCATCATGGCTTGTGCCGCGCCTGAGTCGCAACGACAGCATCATGACTTTGCAGTCAGAGGGTTGTCCTACCATCGTCCCCGTCCTCTTCCTCGGTCGCGCCAGTCATCTCCACCTCCTCGTCCCCCTCTACCCCCTCTTCCAAAGCCCAGCTCTCGATCTGGTGGCGCTTCACCTCTTCTCCATTCGCCAAATGGCACGCCTCCTCCACTTAACCTCCGATCGTCGAATCTGCTTCCACCACCCCGTCCACCTCTGCCGAAGCCACCATAGTCTCCCCGTCCACCGAAGCCGTTCTCACGCGGCCGTCCGCCGTACGGTCCTGAGGGCGGTCCTCTACCGGGACCAGATAGTGGCGGAGGTGCGGCCGGTACACTGCCATCGGGCAGCGGTGGGAGTATAGCGCATGCCACATAGTCGCCTATCATAAATCTGACGTCCCCCAGTGTCTTGTCTGCGTCGCCGTCAAGTTGCTTGAGAGCTTCTGTGACACTTCCTCCTTCAACGCCTTCCATATCCGTATCCTCATCTCTGGGGCGCGCGCCTACAATGACGGAGCCTATGTCGCGCGATATGAATCGCCCTGGCGCGCCTGGTCGGTTTGAGCCTTGGATATCTGGGTATACGAGGCGAAATGCGATGCGCGATCCGGCGTACGGCTGCGGTAGTAATGTTGGTACTGCGCTCAGGAGTAGTGTGCATAGCTCGCGCAGACTACAGCTCTGCCATGTGTAGATTTGGACGTTGGTCGGGAGACGCGGTAGTGTCGGATCGAACTCGTCCAGTCTTTGGCTTATCAGTACTCTGTTCGCTTCATACATTTATAAGACTATGAGAAATGCGCACCTATGGAATGAGTTCTGCTTGAAGAAGAGGCGCAACAAGAAGGGCGTCGTTGTTTGACGGTCAATCTTCGCGGGAGCAGCCATTGTGAGGTCTGCAGCCTTGTGGATAGCCAGGCTAGTCAATGTATTCAAGATGCTTCGAGATTCGCAGGGGCGTAGCGACAACTCGCTAGGAAAGTCGTGAGGAGGTGACGTCAGGCGCAAGATGTGAATGTGTTTGGAGAGTTCGGGGGAGAAGGAACGCGACCGGGACGCGGAGAGCTCCCACTAGCGCCGTTCCTCGGCGGGCACCTTCCAGCGCAGGTGAGTTTCCAGGTCGCAACTAACACTGACTCATCCTCGACACGTTGACTCACTTTAGACCCCGAACATCACAGTCGCCAACATGGACTTCGCAAAGTTGATGTCCGCACACATCAAAAAGGGTAAAGACACAGCCTCACCAGCCGAACCGACCGAGAAAAAGTACCTGAAGCGCAGCGAAATCGAAGCGCAACGGCAAGCCGCATATGTTGCTGAGCAAGAAGCCGCGGAGAAGGCACGGCGAGAACGTCACGAGAAGAAGCGCAAAGCTGAAGAAGATGAAGCCGAGAGGGAAGCAGAACGCCGGGAAAAGCGCATGCGCATGGCCGAGGAATCAAGACGCATAAGGGAAGAAGAGGAAGAGGCAGAGGAAAGACAGCGGCGAAAGCGGCTAGGTCTTCCTGATCTTCCACCTAAGAAGAAGGACGGCGAAGGAGACGGCACACCAGTCCCCGAAGACGAAGATATCGAAGACGAAGAGCTCGTCGCAAAGCTGAGAGCCCTCGATGAGCCAGCGCGGCTATTCGGCGAGACACACAAACAACGCCTGAAGCGATACAAGAAGCGCGTCGGCGCAGACAGCCTAGCAGCCATCATGACGGACGGTCCGATACCCACAACACTACAACTCGTACCGGAGAAGGACATGAAGGTCAGCCCCCAGGTACCCAAGGACAAGGAGGGTCGCGAGTTCCTCTTCAGACAGTTGGCCAGCTACTTTACCATGGTGCTGAAAGAATGGGACCTCACACTCCTCCGTCGAGACCCCGAAGTCAAAGAGAGCTACCAAGGAAAACAAGCCTACGCAGCCATGGTACAAGCGCGCGAGAACATGCGACCACTGTTCAAGAAAATGGAGAAGCTTGATCTTCCAGACAGTATTGTCGAGCCCGTGGTAGAGATTGTGCACGCTGCACAGGAGCGAAGATACGTCGACGCGAACGATGGCTATCTACGTCTCAGTATCGGCAAGGCGGCGTGGCCCATTGGTGTTACCATGGTGGGTATCCACGAGAGAAGTGCGCGAGAAAAGCTGCACGAGAGCGATAAGAATGCGGCGCATATTATGAGCGACGAGATGACGCGGAAGTATCTGCAGAGTATCAAGCGGTGTTTGAGCTTTGCGCAGACGAGGTGGCCGCCAACGGATCAGTTGCAACTTATGGGCTAAGTGAGTTGAATTGGATGACCGAGTATTTGTATGTAGATCAACCGCTTCATTGTTTTACACTGCGGAAACGTTCACGAGGACACGGCCTTTTCGTTAGTTGCGCCACGGGTCGTTGTCAACGACGTGGTGGAGCCGCTCTTTCCTCATCGCGTGTGCACGTGCGGGGCAATGACAGAGCTTGATCTCACCAATCACCGTTTATCTCCGTCTGCACCATCGCCAGTCAACTCATCTCTCGCTCTCACATCAACACCAAGGCATCGTATATGTATCCGTTTCATTGAGAGACTGCTACTCATTCGTCGCCATGCACGAAATTGTGACTTTGCAGTTCGGCAAGCAGAGCAACTACCTAGGCACTCACTTCTGGAACACACAAGTAGGTCGCGAAATCTTGGCGCTCCGTCGTCTCATCTGATATTTTCGCAGGAGTCCTACTTCACATACCCGCCCGAGCCAGAGTCACCTGTGAATCATGACATACTGTTTAGGCCAGGTGTTGCTCCAGATGGGTCCGATACTTTCACGCCAAGGACGCTCATATACGATCTCAAAGGTGCTTTTGGTAGCATGAGAAAGATCAATGCACTATACGAGGCCGAAGACGACAGAAGCATATTGGATCAGAACGGTGTCTGGCCATCAAAGCCTATTGTACAGCGTGCAACAGAGACTATCCCACAATCCACCTATCAAGAGCACCTCGATGCCGGCCTCCAGCCTCCCCCGCTCAGCACATCGTCTGTAAGATACTGGTCAGATTATAGCCGTGTCTACTACCATCCAAAGTCCATTGTTCAGCTGTCCGAGTTTGACGTCAACGACAAGCTTATGCCCTTCGAGAGCTGGGACGTAGGGATGGAGCTTTTCGAGAAGCTTGAAAGGGAAGTAGATCTGGTTGACAGAGATTTACGACCGTTTGTCGAAGAATGTGATGGCATTCAAGGGCTCCAGATCTTCACGGGTGTTGATGACGCCTGGGGCGGTTGGGCCTCGGGATGGCTCGAAAGGCTCAGGGACGAGTACGGCAAGATGAGCATTTGGACATGGGGCCTAGGTGACCATGGTGCCAACTCATCGACCCCTCGAGTATGTTCATATCCAGGGTTTTGGAGGAATTACAGACTAACATAAAGCAGGAAAGACGCATACAACAAGTGGCGAGTTCTGCGCGATCTCTTCAAATACTTGGAGAACAGTCGTCAGTGTACGTACCGATGTCGAACAGCCCTGCTAAACTACCGGGCTATCTATCGTTAGATGCAACTTATCCCTGGCATGTTGCAGCTTTACAGGTCATGGGTCTGGAAAGCATGACCATATCCTCACGTTTGAGAGCATCTCTAGGCGGGCGCGGAACGCTTCAGGACTTGGAAAACACTATCAACAGTACCGGGAAACGACGTATAGCGAAGCTCGAGATGAGTGCTGCAGATCCGGAGGTACTGTCAGATAAGGCTTTCGATGAAGCCGAGAAAGCGGAAAAGGTCGGTTCCATGACATCAAGGCAGACAAGTGAGGGCGACGATCGACTAAGCCATTTCGACATTGATACCTTCACTCGCGATTATAGAACGGCCACCAGGAAAGGAAAGAAAGAGCACGTTTTTGGGCGAGCGGAGGCTTCTCGTGGAGAGTGGGCCCTGTCTGAAGATAACGAACGTGATCCTCATGACAGGTTCGATAGTGGACCAGCCGTGCAAAGGTATGTATCAGTTCATCATCAAAGATGCGCATATCGTGTTATCGGCGCTTGCAAATTGGGCGCAAAACGAGGAATTCAGGCTGACGCGTTTCAGATTTGCTGCACCGCTACTATTTCCTTTGCTTGACAGCTTTCCTCGTTCGATGCTGGACGTAGGGTCCGGTCACTCCACTAAGCTTGCTGTACATACGGGGCTGACGACAAGTACCACTGTCGCTGATCAGATCCGAGCGGTCGAGCAGATCGTCAAGCGAATGGGCGGTATTGAAGAAAAGGAAGCGCTATGCAACGGCTTACAAGTCCTCGCGGAAGAATACGATGAAGGCTGGGATAGCGGAACGGAAAGCGATGACGACGATTAGTCGCGTCGCAACGAGCTTGATGTCTTACGCGTGGCTGGCGCACAGCGTCTTCGTGGAAACGACAGCGCGTCTGCCACCGGCTTCAATACACAAGGATTTTACCGTCAGCCACGACTGATTGATCCGCGACACAACACTCTGGTGACACCACTACAACACATACATTTGCGCTACTCCTAGCGGTTGTGCAGGGCCGGACTTTCTGGACCGCTTTCCATCACTGAGCAAGCACTGCGACATCTGACGGACGTTGAGGTGCCGCCGTGGCGGTACAGGGAAGACCGAACGTGGA